CTACTATGGTCCAATGAATGCAAACCATGGCCATCCATTGGCACTGGAGATTGAAGAGAAGCCACCCGCCGGAGATGTGAAGATTAGGAGAATTGCTCCTTGGTCTTGAAAAGATGTCATGCTTTTATTTATGGCTATGGTCATTGTTTTTCTTATTTGGAAGTTGATGTAGGCTTAGTTTCATAGAACAATAGGTGGACTTTGTTGTATGTGGTCAATCAAACATTGAATTTGTTCTAGGTGAACATATGCTATTATTTGACTTTGTTGTATATGGACTTATTATTAGACTTTGCATTAAACATATTATATATATACATATAATATGAACATATGCTATTAGTAGTTGTCCACAGCCAAAACTAACCACGATCATGTCACAGCCATGACTCGTCGTCGCCTGTTACTCCGTCGCCAAAGAACAGATCGGCAACAAGAAGCGGCTGATATCGTTGGGACGGGAGAGCCGCATGATTCGACAAACGGTGACAGTGTCAATTAGAACGATGAGAACGAGCAGCCATGGACCCCGTCCGGCCTGCTCGATCTGGGTCAAAATGACCAAGATGACCAAGTAACTTTGGTATCATATGACTATGTAGCCACACACGCTAATCAATTGAGAGGGTCATAGCTTATTTGGTGTCTCTAGCAGGAGCCTCTGCCGGCTGAGGAGCCAGAGGGTTCGGGTGGCAGGAAGGCCAGATCCAAGCGAGGCGTGTCAAAGATTCCTATTGGTAGGAATGCATACTGGCTCATCACCGAGTTCGATGAATTCGGGGATCCACTCTCACCGCCTATAGCTTTGACCAAATACAAGACTATCCTCGGGTTACTTGTTAGGGACTTCATCCCGATTAGGTATAGGAAATGGATTGGGAAAGATGATGACCCGTGGGTTCTCAAAAGTGAGAAGGATTACATATGGGATATCAAGATCCCAGAGTATTTCACTTTCCCAATGGAGTATGACAAGGAGTTAGTCAAGAAAAAAGCAAAAGAAATCATGGAGACATGCTTTAAGAATTTCAAGGGGACATTGTACAAGAATTTTGTCCTCCAAAATAAAGAACCAGATTTCGATGGTGGACAGTTTAGCAAGCAGAAGGACTTCTGGCAGGATTTCAAGGAATACAGGTTATCCGAGGAGTACTTAGTACTGAGCAGGAAGAATAAGGAGAACTCATAGAAAGCGATGAATCCTCATCATCTTGGCTCTCATGGCTACGCCAAAAAGATGCCAGAATTTGAAGCAGAACTTGAAAAGATGGATTGCCTTGCTAAGGAAGGCGTTCAGGTTGAGACCGCCGATTGGGAGCCCAGATCTATAATATATTGTATTGTGAGGAATGTACGGCACGCCGAGGACAAGAGCTTTAGCTCCACAAATCAACCCATGAGCAAACTCATCTAGAGGATCTCCCAGGTAACTGAGGAGGTGAGGCAAGGTTATTATCCATTCGCCACATGTTTTTTATTATCCTGAAGAAGAGAAGTTCGATGTCGAGTGGGAGTGCTTGTTCCAGCTATACCAGAAACGCTCTCTCGATACACAAATGTTGACGCTATAGACTATGTAAGTACCCTACACGCACAATATTACAATTAACTACTCTCTCGAGACATAAATTGTTAAATTTTGAGCACTTCCCATGATTTTATGTAGGTGTATAGCAAAATTTTGCATTCTAAAAAGCAAATGGGATAATATAGGCTTCTTGGACCCCTTGTGAGTCAACGAGAAGACATGTCTAGGCCTCCATGGATATGACGTGGAAGACCTAAAACAGAGATTGATTGCTGTTTTCGATGAATTCAAGATGAAGAACAAAACCCACATACTTCTAGCATATAACTGCGAGTATGTGTTCTTGGCTTTTAATTTTATGCTTCTTTTTTCGTTAAGATTATTCGATAATTATGATTCTGTGATTGCAGCAACCATTTCATCTTCATTTGTGTTAATCTTGCCAAAAATCTGATCGAGGTGTGGGACTCGAAGAAAAAACCATTTCATCATCTGGATGCAGTGGTAGCAGTGCTGAATTAGTAAGCGATCTTAATAACATATTATTTTCTAATCACACATATCGCTTTCTAATGTTTCTTCTTTTAATGTTGCTCGGTGTCAGAAGAAGACATATCGGTGGGATGCAGGTCCCATTCACGGTTGTCGAAATGGAGGGGAAGTACCTAAAACAGCCGGCGGGAAACAATGAATATGGGTTTTATGTAATGTGGGTAATGCTTCGCTACATCGGCGGAAAATCGGAAGAAGCCGATAAGTTAGTGTGTATAATCCCTATTTCATTTATGTCTGTTAATAATTCAACAAAATGATTTACTGATTCCTCTTTGGATATCATCTTTTTTGAACGACAGCGTAAGAAATATAACCACGAAAGGCTGTTAGACATAGAGATCGTCGCACTGCAATCGGAGCTGACAAAATTCATAATAGCCGAGGTATTAGAAAAAGATGGAGTATTTTCCATTGCACAATCCGTGAAATTCAAGGACCAGTATGGCCCAGAGCGGCTCGCCAGATTATTGTAAGAAGTCCGAGAAGCATTGCACAATCTGTGAAGTCCGAAAACATTTCTTTTTTATTTTGAGGGATCGAGATCTTGATAAGAACATTTGAACTGTAACCGTAACATTTGTAATGTTTAATATTGATGGACCTGTCGTCTACGTAGCGTATATAAAGCGAAACCCAATTCCATGAAAAAATATAAATTAAAATAAATTATAAAATAATAAAATACGAATGTACCATCACTGTCGGTTAGCAGTAAACCGGAAGTGATGACTAAGATGGCACTACCGGCTGGAGCCACAAACCGGCAGCGTTGACTCAGGTGAAGACACTGGAGGGACTGTAACTGCCAGAGTGCAGGAAGCTTCTCGAGATTTTGGCAATCTTCTAACTCGAGCTCCACCATGCCTTGCAGCTCAAGCATCCATGTTGGAATACTATCGCTCATTGTAGCAATACATCCTCGAGCCTTTAGCCCATCATGAGGTCGGAGGCCATCCAAAGACCTTTTATGTGCCTCCTTTTCATTGTCGTTAGACCATCTTAATGTTAGTTCTTCCAGCCTTTTCTTGTCCCAAAGTTTTTTGCTTTTGCATCTGCTCTGTCGCATTTTCAAGCTTCCTTAGCTCCGGTGGCCACCAAGGTCCAAGTTCTCGGCGCTTCCATGTTCACGCAACCCGAGCCGATTACCTAATACAAAGCATGTAAGCGTCTCGTAGGGAAGTGAGGTGTCCGAGGTTTGGAGGCATGCTCGTTAACCCGGACATCCGTGAGTGTAGAGGTGACGGAGGGCTGTCATATACTTCATTGCCTTTGGAAGTTGTTGAAGACTTTCACAATAGGATAGGTTCAATGTTTGCAGATGATACAGGATGGTAATGTCTTCGTGAAGTGCTACAATATCACTTCTTGAGAGATCAAGATACCTTAGGTGATGAAGATATTTCGGCTTTAGAAATGGACCTTGCCGTGTCTTTAAGGCTCGGACAAGCCGCAAATATTTTGATAATTTCTGCACATCTGTTATTTTGGATCTATCACATATTAGTGTCTGGATAGCTGGAGACCCTTTCTCTATGGAACCATTCAAAACATTTTCTTCAATGTCAATCGATAGAAATAAATGGCGAAGCGGAGTATGGAAAATCCTCACTTTGGCTCGGTTTTGTATCTATTGCAGCACATTCTTTTCCCATTGAATCTGTGCAACATCATGCATAAGGTCATGGATTTTACAAGTAATTTGTCTCATTAAATTTGCCTTGCTGCACCTCCTGAAAAAATGACCTTTGGGCTAGCTCATTGAAAATTTGTTTACCGGTGACTTGTGGACACACTCTTTTTTTGCTCCGGGATAAAACTATTAGCCATCCATAGTCGGATCAGCATTTCCACATCAATCTCATGATCCTTAGGAAACATTGCACAAAAGGCAAAGCAATCGTCGCATATGTGGTGGCAAGCAATTGTAATCGAGCTTGAGTCTTGGTAAGATTCCATTTTCGTCATCACAAATTGTGCTTCGGTTTAATACCGCCTCCCATTCTTGCACGGTATTCTTAGTACAATCACAGAGCCCAATGTTTGTAGCAGCTAAAGGAGAACCGAACATCTCTTCACAACATCACCGACCATATTGAGTAGCTGATCATCAGGCTTTTGTGCTTGCACACTAAATGCTTCTTTCTTGATAATTTTTTCTATGTAGCTTTCTTCCAAGTGCTTGATCTTATGGACTTCGATTGTCCCCATGAACTGAGCAATATTTTCATCACGAGTTGTTGTCAAAACCTGAGCTACCGGGGCACCATGATGAAGGTAGGACCTCAACTTATCCCACTTGTTAGCCTCACGGTTCCATACATCATCTAGTACAAGGAGATACTTCTTCCCACTCTCCGCACTTTTAAACTTTTCCATTGGTGAACCACTGGTCATTTGACAACCATTGTTTTTAGCCTCTTTCACTATTGTTTCAAACAGGGAATCCACATCAAAGTTTTCCGACACACACACCCAGATCTGAACCTGGAAGTGCTTCTGAATGGCGGAGTCATTGTAAACAAGCTGCGCTAATGTGGTCTTGCCCATCCCGCCCATTCCTACCAGGAAGGACTGTGAGACCCACATTGTCCCCTTGGCCAAGCAATGCATCAACAATCTCCTCCTTCTCTTTTGCTCTTGAGTCACTTGCAATGTTCACATAATTGTCTGGCATGTTAGGATCTGTCTGCCTCCACTTCATGGACATTGGTGGCTGTGGTTTGAATTTGAACCTAAAGGTATTCATCTCTACTATGAGGACATCAACTTCTTGCAAAATCATACGGAGCTTGTTTGCCATCCTATAACGGAACACAAAGCGGTTGTGAGAAGGGAAGAGCTTTATGACATCCATACCGAACTCCTTGTAGTGCCCTCTGCCTTTGCCTTGCGGTGGAGTGCCTCGTACTTGAACTCGTCAAGGACATCGTTCGCTTTTGTAGGCCACGGTCCGGAGCTCCTCAAGCCAAGCTTCGCCCCTCTCTGTTTTTCGCTGCCTGCTCCTCGGCGTCGGTGATGACGCCCAGACGGCGGGCAGCTTGCGCTTGAGGAGCTTGTGCTGCTCCTCCATGCCCTCCATGACCTTGTACTGGTCCAGGAGGTGGCTGGAGGCCTTCTCCTTCACCATGGACACCAGCGGCCCGACCACCATGGTGGCCAGTACCTCCGCCATCGAAACTCTTGGAGCTCGATGAGAACACGGGTGCAGGGTGCAAGGAAAGCACAGCTGCTGGGTGGTGAAGGGAGTGGATGTGGATCTGACGAGGAGCTGCTTTGGAGGAAGATGTAACCAGTAACGCGTGCGCTGATTTTCTATTAAGTTGCTATCAGCCAAGTGGCTCTGCTTGGTTAGTTGCATCGACCAGAACAATATGATATAGAAGTATGGCTTGCAGGTGAGGCGCGTTATATATGGCCAGCTGCAAACCCACAAAGGCTGTCCGTTAACTCAACCTCACGAATTAGCATGTATTAGCTTAATTACTTGCCTCTGATATACTGTAGCCGGCCTAATGTACAGGTACAGGTGAGATCAGGTCCTTCCTTGCAGTACTAAGTAGAGACTACTTGAATAATCACCAATTTTGCATGTTAACAAGTTAACACATGGCATGCTAGTGAATATTGGACCAATAACTTCGTAGGTGTATATTATTTTGTGACTTTGTTCATGTATACTCGAGAATATTTGATCATGTTATTCCAACTTAATTTTCGGGCTCCTTGTCCATATTTGTCTGTTTCCGTATTTTTGTATATCCCTATCCAATTTCAGTTCTGTTTTTTTTTTCCGAACCCGATCCTCTCTCTACTAAAAATATAGAAACAGAAACGGAGGAGGAGTTTTCCTGCAAGTTTCCATCCGTTTTCATCCCTACACGCGAGCCTGTAGTACCATCACCAATTCACCATCATCACTTCTCCCTAATCCAGCTTCACTTTGGGCCAACAAACTTTAGTCCAACACTGGCCCAGATCTACTTTCTCGTGAACAAATATCTCTGTGCTAATAAGATATCCTCTGGTTTGGAATGCCGCCAGTCTCGGTTCCTACGGTCATAATAAACAATAAATTTTCTGTACGCGTACCGTCAAAATCATCTTGTTCTTTGCTTCAAAAAAAAAAAAAATCATCTTGTTCCGTTGTTCGTTTGCATTTCCGTCCGGTACGGTCGAAGGAGGAGGCAACTCATGACACACGACCGATCACGTCTTTTGCGTGCGACGCCTTGGGATCCCCGCATGCTTCCGTCTTTTTCCAAAAGACAACACACGGGCGCGGCACGTCAGATCCGTGGGGGCGTGCAGCTACAGCCCACCTGGCATGCCGAGCGCACGCGTGGGAGGCACCGCCCGAGACAGACGGCAGCGGCACGGCGCGGCAGGAAAACCACCACGCCTGACGCCCAGCAGGGAGAGGATCGCCTCACGTTGCCTGTAGCATCGAGAGCAGTCATCGTCATTAACAAAGCAGTTGTCGTTATTAACAGTACGTCAACTGTCACCTGCTACCCGTAATTTTTAAAGTTACTTTCTTCCAACATTCTTAGCGGCAAATCCGATGGATCTGCCCGTTAAGTAGTGATAGTTTTTTTTTTGTTATAAGAGTATATATAGGCTCACTCTTAGTCACGTGATTGCCAGGCTTCTCCAAACTCGATCGCAATAAATCTGTTCACTCAATCTTCTTCAACCGTACTAACTTCCACCAGATAAGAAGCAATGGCGCCTTCACAAATGAAATGTCTCTGTCGTCCTCCTAGTCGTCGTCCTCTTACCCAACGTCATGGCAGCTCGTGGTATGTACGCGTGCACATGGATGAACTACATGTTGCAAGCGGCGATTTCATTTGATTAATCTTTTGCTAAAATTTGTTTGATGTGCCTTCGACATTTGTTGCCTAAATGTCCATGCCTCGATCTGAACCATGCAGAATCGACGTCTTCACCACCAGTTCAGCAGAATTTTCTTCTTTATTTGGTGCCCATACATCCAGACTGGACAATGAAGTAATATATCTGCTACCAGCCTGTAGCATGCTCGCTGTCTACAGTTGGATAGTTCTACTTTTCTTAGCTTCGGTGCTTCATGAAAAGTAAGCGATCGCTCATCGTCGTTGTCGACTACACACTACGGCTATAGGTTGAAGAGGGAGGGAAAACAGAGCGCGCACACACACAACACAATGGCAAAACTGAACCCACTCTCTTTACTGAGTTGCAGTGGGAAGCTATATATACAACTCTACCCATCTAATCCTAGCACACAGACATGTCAGGCTGTCATGCTGCTATAGTGACTAGATGTGACAGTAGGGTTGACTTTGGCGCATGCCCCTGCTGTGGCTACAGTGCGGCAGTGGAGCCTTTCAGCGCCTGCCCCAGCCGCGGCTACAGTGTAGCAGCAGGGGAGCCCTTTTCGACGCCTGCCCCTGCCGCGCGTACAGAGGGAGAGCAGCATATTACTTAACAATTCTTCCTTAATCATGCTGCTAACCCTAGAACCTCCACCATGCCGATCATCTTCTTCAACTCCGTGAACCGAAGACGGACGAGCGGCTTGGTGAGGACGTCCGCGAGTTGCCGACTAGTTTCGACGAACTTGATGCCGATCTGCCCTCCATCGACACAATCCCTGAGGAGATGGAACTTGACGTCGATCTGCTTGCTCCGGTCGTGGAGAACCGGATTCTTCGCGATGGCGATGGCGGGCTGGTTGTCCACCATCAGTGTTAGTGGGTGAACTTCCACACCGGTCAGCTCGCCCAGCAGTCGGCGCAGCCACACAGCTTGGCACGCCGCTGTGGCCGCCGCCACGTACTCTGCCTCGCACATGGACAGCGCCACCACCTTCTGTTTCAGCGATAACCATGAGATTGGAGCCGACCCGAGGAAGACGAGCACGCCAGAGGTGCTCCGCCGTCCGTCGATGTCCCCCGCCATGTCTGCATCGCTGAACACAGTGAGCTGCAGCCCACTTCCACCGGTCTTGGGGAAGATGATCACCTGATCCACCGTTCCCTTGACATAGTGTAGCAGCCGTTTCACTCGGGGTTCCTCCATGAAGCGGCTGACGTAGCCCACGATGAACGCAATGTCCGACCTCGTATAGACTAGGTAGCACAGACCGCCGACGATGCTCTGGTAGAGTATTGCATCTACCTTCGCCGCAGTACTGGCCTTCGACAGCTTCAGCCGCTCCTCCATTAGAGTCACGCACGGCTTGCACTCATCCATGCCGCTCCGATCCAACAGCTTCGAGGCGTATGCGCTCTGACCAAGCATGAGCGCCTCCTTCCTTTGTCTCACCTCGATGCCGAGGTGTAGGAGAGCGCGCTGAGATCACTCATTCGAAAACGAGCCGCCATCTGGCACTTGAAGCTGTCGATGTCCTCCGCACGCGTACCGGTGATGATCAAGTCATCCACATATATGCCGACAAAGAGCTCCTCCTCGTGCATGGTTGCACGCCGCGTGAACCCAAGCTTGCCCAGCGTGGCGTCAAGCTTGGCGTTCCATGCTCGCGGGGCCTGCCGTAGCCCGTAGAGCGCCTTGCGCAGTCAGAGCACCTTGTGCTCTGCTCCCTTGATGGTGAAACCCAGAGGTTGCCTGACGAAGACCATCTCCACAAGCTCACCATTGAGGAATGTAGACTTGACGTCGATGTGGTGGACGCGCCAATCCTTTGCTACTGCTATAACTAATAGCAAGCGAACGGACTCCATTCGCGCCACCAGAGCAAAAACTTCCTCAAGTCGATGCCTCACGTTGGACAAAGCCTCGGGTGATAAGGCATGCCTTATGCTTGACAATGGCACGCTTTCGTCCGCTTGACCTTGTACACCCACTTCAGCTGATCGAATGGCATCCCGGAGGTGGATCGACGAGCTCCCAAGTCTTGTTTTCCTCGATCGCCTTCATCTCTTCTAGCATCGCCCATCGCCAATTTTAATCGCGCCGCCAGCGTGAACGTGGGTGGTTCCTCTCACTAACGAGAAGCGCTCTACGGGCCATTGAGCAGCAAAACCCGCTAGGCTCGAGGACCTGTGCCGACGATGTCATCCAAAGATGCGGAACCGCACCTCCTCACTGTCATGGAAGGCATCCACGAACTCGGTGATGTCGCTTGGAGGTAAGGCGAACTCGATCGGTGTCGATGGAGTCCCCTGTTCTGCCGAAGTGGTCAGCACAGCACCTGGAGTGCTCGGCACCCCGGCTGCAGTGCTCGGAAGTACTCCTAGACCGCTCATCACCACTCCTGGAGTGGTCGGCACCACTGTAGGAGTGCTCAGCACTAGTCTTGGAGTGGTCAGCACCACTGCAAGACTTCTCGGCTCCACTGCGGGAGCGTTCAGCACCTATCCTAGAGTGGTCGGCACCACTGTAGGACCGCTCGGCACCACTCCTAGAGCACTCGTCACCCATCCTAGAGTGGTCGGCACCACTGTAGGACCGCTCGGCACCACTCCTAGAGTGCTTGGCACCCCACCCGAAGTGCTCGGCACCGCCCCAGGAGTGCTCGGCTCTGTTGCTGGAGTGGTCGGCACCTCCTCTCTAGTGTCTCCAGCACCGTGGATGACCCAGTGCTCGACGACGAAGGTGCTAGTGAAGCCGCCAGCTTCCTCGTGCCCAGACTATCTCAGTCCTAGGCCGCCTTCTCGTCGAACACGACGTCACGCGAGACAACCACCTTGCCTCCGCATGGGTCGTAGAGCCGGTATGCCTTGGTACCTTCCTCGTAGCCTAGGAGCACCATCAGTGTGCTCCTGTCCTCCAGCTTGGTGAGGACCGGCTTCGCCTTCCTGACATGGCCGATGTAGCCCAATGTCTAGAGGAAGGACATGTTCGGCTTGCGCCCATACCAGGCTTCGAACGGCGTCATGCCCTTTAGGGCCTTGGTGGGTGTGCGGTTGAGGATGAACACCGCCGTGGTCACCACCTCTCCCCAGAACTTTGCCGACATGCTTTTGGCCTTCATCATGGATCGAGACACGCCGACTACCGTCTGGTTCCGCTACTCCACCACACCTTTCTGCTGTGGCGAGTACGTGCGGTGTGGTGTCGCACCACACCCTGATCCGTGCAGTACGCAGTGAACTTCACCGAAGTGAATTTGCCACCACGATTAGTCTGCAGCACGCGCAGCTTCTTGCTGCTCTCTGCCTCCGCGGG